TCGAACAAAACGGTGCATATTTGACCTAAATTAGATCATTCTAACTATACTAAATAAAGCCTTCAATTTCATGCAAAAATAATGGATTTCTTTTTACTACACCTTATATTATACATTATATATGTATATATTATATATTATATATAATATATATATATATATATATATATATATATATATATATATATATAGAGTGTTTGATATAAGACATACAAAACCATGTGTGAAGAGCACGTCAATTTAAACACTTGGTATTTTGCAAACAATCACGTAAAATTTGAGATAATATCGGAGTGGAGGTATAATAACAATTATTATTATATTATCAGATATCTAATAATAACACATGCTCCTTTTGTGTACGTATAGATTAGATCAAGTTGAACAAAAAATTTGTTTACCATTTTGCGAATAGTCATTAAATTTTAAACAGTCGTAAAAGATTTAATTATTAATTAAAAAAATTGGCGAATACTATGAGTAAAATGCTGTAGTAGAAAGAGCGACGCCACTCTCTTTTAGTTTATTGCGCTCGATGCTTGAATAGAATAGTATTACGTTACACGAGCGACAAACATCGATATGTATGTATATATGCATATATATAAATATACACACACACACACACATACATACATATATACATACAAATATATATATATATATATATATATATATATATATATATATATATATATATATATATATAAAGTAAGCCAAAAGTTTCGAGACCCCGAAATATCTAAAAAATATAAGTTTTATAAAAATAAATGTATCACACACAGATAAAAATTGGATACTTTAAAAAGATCTATTTATTGATTTTATCAGTTTGACCTTAAGTGGCGTCACCAAGATAAGGACAAGATCTTAAATTTTTTTAATGGAACGTCCTATTTTTTATTGCATATTTTTATAGCCCTTCTTCAAATCTTTTCAGAGATTTATAACTTATCCACTTTAATTAAACTGTTTCGAAGTTATCGAGTAATATAATAATATAATTTATATGGTAAAATATCTAGCCCATGAAGGCTAGATTGATAAAAAATCTTATAATGTTACAGAGTAGACACCACAACAACTCGAGCCAGGTCATTGGTTCATTAGTTCGTTCGGGTTAACGGGTGCGTACGTCCAGAAAGTATATAGTAGGTCGGATTATGCAGACATGCGTAGTAGATCAAATCATGTTGATCTTGCCTTAGTTGGCTGGACAATTACCGATCTTGCTTTCGTCGGTTGGATCATCCTCCGATTTTGCCTTTGCTGACTGGACGTTTTAACATAAAAAGTTCGATAACTTCAAAATGATTGATCTAAAATGGATAAAATTATAGTGTTTTGAAAAGGTCTGAATAAAAACTATAAGAAATGCAATAAATAAAAAAATAGGAGCTTTTATTTAAAAAATTTAAGGTGACTTTGCTCAGACTTTGACGATACCACCAAAGTTTTTATCAAATTGATAAAATTAGTAAATAAATCTTTTAAAATTCAATAATTTTTATTTGATAAATATTTTATAGAAATTTTTTTTTTAAACTTTATAAAACTTCCGGAACATTTGGTGTCTACTTTGTATATATACATATATAGGATAATTCAAAACAATTTTCTGTCCTTGAAATATCATAATCTTGAAGGAATTTTGATGTGAATTTTCTTTTTGCAAAATTTTATACGCAACTTAATGTTTTCGAGTTAATAAAAATAAATATTTTGCTCTTATAAGTCGGGTACAAGAAGTAGGCAAGAGCGACATTATCAGATGTGAGTACTTATTTAAGGCGCCTAATTAGTTGACCATGATTAACGTGAATACTGCATATTTCATTCATAAAGTTTATTTCCAAATTAGATAAAACTTGTATAGTTGAATATTTTAGCTTTAAATGTTATATTATAATCGTACTCGGAAATACACAATAAGTAATCTGTGGGTAGACTGACATCAGATTGGTGACAGATTCGAGCAGAATCTGTCAACAGATCCATAGACATCTGCGTCCCTAGTCCGCTGTTAGATTGTGGATAGAGTCTGCCGGCAGGCTCTGACGGCAGATTGGCGGCAGAATGTGCGCAGATCCTGCTGTCGTTAGAGTCTATCAGCAGACTCTACGAACAATCAATCTTCAATCTGCTGTCAGAATCTGATAAACAGATACTATGTGCAATCTGTTGCCTTTCTATCACAGACGCCGCTAGTAGACTCTGTACAAAATCTGCTCGCGCAAGTTTGGCTATCTGAGTAATTTAAATCATCTTATTTACTGTTGTGTACGATTATCAACAGAAGTTATAAACATAATATATATGAATGCTATTACATATGTGTATCAGTCAACATGTATCAGTCCTATACCTGCTATATATATACCTGCTATACCTATAATAAGCAAACTATTTATAACTCATAAACTAAGTCTCAGATAACATTTTGCAAAAGAAAAAAATCAGTTTCAGAATTCGTTTAAGACCATGATATTTCATAAGAATAGAAAGTTGTTTTAAAACAATTGATATTAATATACTCTAATATATATAATACTTGATGTATCGGAAAATATATATCATCGTTCATGAGAATGTTTTACGAAAAACTGTCGAACAAGAAGGATGAAGAAAGTGAAATGATGTACATACGAATACATACGAATGTATGTATGTATTTGGTACAGACAATACGACCCGTAATGTTATACCAAAGATATAACCAAATTGCAGATATAGGGAGAGGAATACGAGGATGGAAGAAAAGGAATACAGAAAACACTTACAATTTAGTTAACAAGATGCGCTTGAATTATATCATTTTATCTTAGTTGCCTAAGGTGGCAACTCAGATAATCGAGACGTACAATCGAGAAAGTGACGCTTATTTTCTCGTCGCGTATACATATGTATTTCGTTTGCTTACTTTTTCTCCTATATTGTCTGTAAAGCATTTCTAAGGTAACTTAGAGATATTTTGGAACATTTTTTCTCTCACAAAACGATTGTAAGATAGCAAAAAGGATTAATTGAACTTTAGTAATTAAATGTAAAGCGCACGTGCTCGCTATTCGTTGTTCATGTAGCAACGTGTATTCGTCAAAATTGACGAACCAAAAAAGGAGAAAAACAGAGAAAGGAAGAGGTAGAAAGAATTCGAGAGAGCTTTAGTGATTTTAGTTAGTACAAAAATATCAACACCAAGGGAGTAACACATATAGACACACATATAGACTCGATCGAATGCTTATCATAGTATTTGAAATGCTACCGAAGAAGTGCGACGTTAAACTAGA